ATCTTTTCTTTTACAGGATCGATCGACTAGGCTTAGAAATGGTGGTGGGAGTAGAATTAGCCTTAGTCAGGTTTTGACTGGAATGTCACTTTATGTCAGGGGTGTCAAACTTGCGGCCCTCCAGCTGTTACCAAACTACAAGTCCCATGAGGCATTGCAAGGCTGACAGATACAAGCATGACTCCCAAAGGCAGAGGCATGATGGGACTTGTAGTTTTGCAACAGCTGGAGGGCCACCAGTTTGACACCCTTGCTTTAAGTCATCTGAACATAAACAAATTAGTTCAATGTTAATAAATTGGACCCAGTGTCACAGATATTTTTCTTGTTAAAGTTGAACTCCAAATATGATCTGTATTGTATGCTGACATTGGTCCAGCTTGGCACAATGTTAGTATGCATATCTCAGAAATTGGCTGTGTTCACAAATACATGTTACAAATCAGCCCCAGGCTTGTAACTTGCTCCATTGCAGTCTGTGTAAGAACTAGGACGGAGGATACTGAGGGAGTACTTCACCTCTTCTGCAACAAACTGATGACATCATTTCAGCCTCAGTAAAGTCAAAGTTGCTAACTTTGTAAGGAACTGCTTTTTGGTTGTATTTTTTATGAGTATGCTGAATATTGTGAAATGTCAGGAATTTATTTATACGGGGCCTTTTATTACAACGTATGTGTATTTTATTAGTAACTAATAAAAGGTCAACTTTGTACCTTTTTTTATTAAAACCAAAGTTTTCTTAGGGGTCTATTTCATACAAGATTTACACAACTTTTACAAGAATTTACACATTTTTCCATTTCAATCCAATTAGAACAACACAGGAATCTTGGGTAAAAGTTGTGTGAACCTTATATGAAAATAATATACATACATAAATATACCCCTTAGTATCTGCTCTTAGTATCTCACAAGTACCTGTAAGCATTTTTACAACTATTAGATGAACCCTTCTGAGTTTGCAAAAATCATAAAGCAAATGCTTTTTATTAAAAAAAAAAAAAAAAAGAAAATGATTGCTTTACGCCCATTGGCCAGACGCACATTCAGACTGGTGCATAGTGCAAATATGCAAGTAATAAATATGCAAAGATTAGTGTATGGAAATATAGCCCAATAATATTCATATACTGCACACACTAATGGCCAAGAAGCCTGAAACAACTGTATTAGGTTTGGTATAAATGGCTCTATAATATTAGGCTATGTTTGCACTATATACCAACGGTTCTGGATGTGCAACTGGCAGATGGGGTAAAAAAAAAAAAAAAGCAATGATTTGCATGGCTCCACCCACTTTGCTGAAATGGAGAACAATCTTCTTATTTTTGGGATATGTAATGGAATGAGACATGGATATACATGGATCTTCATTTTAAGAAGGCTTTACTGTGCTATTCACTGAATAGGTTGAAGGGCTTTTTGATTGTGGTTTAGTCTCTTCTAACCATAAACTCTAGTTATTCTGTCTACAAAAAAAAAAATAAAATATTTGCTTGGATCTGTTATAGATATGAATGATCATTTTCTAAAATTCTAGACCAGTGGTCTCCAAATTGTGACTTTGGGCCTGGATGTGGCCATTTTCTTGCCTTTATTAGGGCCTTGAGACACTATTCCTCCCACTGATGCAAGACACTTTTCCTTCTACACCAACAATGGGGCACTATTCTTCTCACTGACACCAATGATGGGACACTAATCCTCCCACTGGCACCAACTGCAGGGTCCTATTCTTCCCACTGACACCAGTGATGGGGCACAATCCCTTTCCCTGATATTAATAATGTGGCAATATTCCTCCAACTGACACCAATGATGGGTAACTATTCCTTCCTGATACCAACAATGAGGCACCATACTTACCAATGACAATAATGTTGGGGTACTATTTCTACTCCTAATACCAATAATGGGGCATTATCCCTCCCATTAATACCAATGATGGGACATGCTCTACTCCCATTGACACCAGGGTATTTTCTACTCACACTGGCCACATTCTGGACCCCTCAAAGTCTGAAGGACAGTAAACTTGCCCTTTGTTCAGAAAGTTTGGAGACCCTTGTTCTATACTATTATAAGTTAAAAAAATAATGCAGAAGTCTAGTATTTTTAAGCGTCATTACTAACAGATACTCTGTGTAACACACGTAACTAAGAGAGCCATTATGTTTCCTATGAAAAACCATTTAGGGTGGTTAGGATAGGGTAGCACCCACATTCATCAAAATGATAGGAGATTCAAACAGTCACTACTGCGAATGAGCTTAAGTTGAACTGTGCTCTGCTTACAAAAATGGCATGTGGGTGTCCCCCATGTAGTCTGTATCTTTCTTTCTTTCTTTTCTTTTTCTCTTTTTATCTCTCTTTCTCTTTCTTTCTCTTTCTCTCTCTCTCTCTCTCTCTCTCTCTCTCTCTCTCTATCTCTCTCGTTCTTTCTCTCTTCAGAATTGACCATACTCAATTGAGGATTTGACATTGTCATTGACATTAAGGTATGTACACTCACCTGCCACTTTATTAGGTACACCTGTTCTATTGTTTAGTAACACAAATTGCTAATCAGTAGATCACATGGCAGCAACTCAATGCATTTAGGCATGTAGATGTGGTGAAGATGCATTGCTGAAGTTCAAACCAAGCATCAGAATGGGGAAGAAAGGAGATTTAAGTGACTTTGAACATGGCATGGTTGTTGGTGCCAGACGGGCTAGTCTGAGTATTTCAAAAACTGCTGATCCACTGGGATTTTCACACACAACCATCTCTAGGGTTTACAGAGAATGGTTCAAAAAAGATAAAATATCCAATGAGCTGCAGTTATGTGGATGAAAACGCCATGTTGATGTCAGAGGAGAATGATCAGACTGGTTGCTGCGACATTCAGATAGTGGGGTCAGAATTTGGTGTGAACAACATGAAAGCATGGATCCATCCTGCCTTGCATCAACGGTTCAGGCTGGTGGTGGTGGTGGTGGTGTAATGGTGTGAGGGATATTTTCTTGGCACTTGCAAGGTGTATCTAATAATGTGGCCGGTGAGTGTAATATTCCCTTTTATATTCCCCATAGACTAAATGAGCATTAGATACTGAATATAAAGAGGAGACAGTCACATGTATTCTTTCTTATACTCACTTAGTAATAGGGAAGAATACTCACCTTTAGTCCTCAGTCCTGTGACAGGTGGTACTCTTCTTTACTTCTACCCTGGAATTTGTGCAGGCCTTTTTGTTATCATATACAGTGCAATGAGGTGGCCACTGGTCCTACATTGTACATGATGACATGTATTAGGCAGGGGCGGACTGACCATTTGAAACTCGGGCACTGCCCGAGGGCCCGGGGTCAGTAGGGGGCCCCATGAGATGCCCCTGGTACCTTTTTCATAGGCTTTTTTGAGTTTGAGCAAGAACACAGGGGCCCCATGATCCCCTATTGCCCGGGGGCCCCATGAGTTGTCAGTTCGCCCCTGGTATTAACGTAGGTAATACTCCCTTTATATTTACCATAGACTAAACGAGCATTAGATACTGAATATAAATGTGGGCATCCACATTCCATTTTTTGCAAACCTGCAGGAGTTAAGTTTTAAAGTGAACTTGGCAATATCTAAAGTAAAAATAGTGCTGATGTGCAGTTACCATATATTCCTTATATTAGTTTTTAAAATGACCTGTGGAGCCCCTTGGACCCTAGATCTAGGCTGAACACACGGTCTCAACTTCCAAGTCAAGACTTAGTCCTACTCCTTACTGGTACTAAATGTCATCACCTGACCTTCAGCTGTCAAATGCCACAATCTGTACTGCCCACTGAGAATTTGGCCTTTGGCAGTTAAATTATGGGGTAGGGTTCAGTCTCAGAGATGAAATGGATGCCCTTTTGGCCTTGGTTCCAGGTAACTCTGTAGGAACACAGAAATCAGTGTGAAGACTAAAACATGCACTTCACTGTAGGCACCACTTACTTGCATATTAGTACTGTTGTAACCTTAGGCATTTCCTTAGCCAGCTTCAGCAGGGAATCTAAATCAAACTGCAGTATCAAATCTCATGGACAACTAGGTCTCCCCACACATATTCTGCATTGCTGGGTTAGAAGGACATTGAACAAAGTTAGAATTGTTACCAGCTTCTGAAAATGGTAAAAGTTACTGTATCTAGAGCACATGCTGTGACTGATTAATGTATTCTGTACAAACTGTACAGATACACAAGCCATTAAGCATACAGTGATACTGACAAATGTGGGTCTTTAGATAGCAGGGAAGCCATTTTGCATAAGATGAATACCAAGATAAAAATTATATTCAATCAGCAGGTAGACTTCCCACTGTGTGAATTTAAATACCAAATGTTCACGTTTGACTGGGGTGTATCTTTAAATGCATCTCCTGGATTTCTGATTGTCTCCCTCTATCTGATTGCTTTGGAGTAATCATGAACTCAAGCGTATGGGAAATGTTTTAGCTGCGGGTACCACCTCTGGGTTTAAGCTGTCTTTGGTCTTTACATAGTGTGTCAAACAGCAGGATAGCTTACAAGTCACCAGAAAACTTGCCATCAGCTTCTACTTACATCACTAGAATGACATTTCATGGGTTCATGTGTTTTCTACTTTTACAGCTGCCAGGTATTGATGTGATCTTGTTTTCATGTATTACCTATAAGACTGTATGTTATGTCTTCCTTCTGACTTGTTCTTCTGCTTCATTAGATAATACACTTGCATCAAATCTGGAATCCCATTTCATCCTTTGATCCTAAATCATTAGAGGTTTAACTCACCCACAGGCTGAATTCATGAACAAATCAGAAAATGTCTTTTCTCTTTCCTCTAGAATCCTTGCTAAAGTCAGACTAGGTGACATTTTTTCTGAAGATTTATGTTTAATATTCTGAATATTTACTGCAACATAAAGATCTGAACTGAGCTATGTGTCTGGCCTCTTTGGGCCTTGTGGTAATCTTACCGATTTGATTTTAATTGCAGACCTCAGTCATACAGGATGCTGTTAAGAAACAGCCAGCTGATGCAGTACATGTCACCAGGGAAAATCCAGGCAATAAGTAAGTCGGTTCTTTTTTTTTCCTTTTACCACAGTTCCCATTAAAGGAATTAGTCATTTATAAACATGAAAATGACATAAAGGCAGTAAATCCTTGTCCGCCTGTAACATAGTTTTAGTTCATGCCAGTAGAGTGCCAATTAAAAGAGTATGGCCAAAGCTTTTTTTTGTAACCTGTTATCAGCTGATGAGGCAGAGCCGCAGTAGGCTCTGGAAGAATCCCGATAACATTGTCGGGTTTCACCCCACTACCTGATCCCAACAATATTGTTGGGATCTACTCTGCTGCTTGAATGAGAGCTGGCTCTGCCTTTCAGCACACTAAGTAGTTGAGAAAGTTGGAGCTGCCCTAGGAATGTGAAGTTTTTTAGAAGGTATCTCCTATGTCTAAAATCATTAAGTGGTTAAGAAAGATGGAGCTACCTCCAAGGAAAGCCTGCTCTCAGTTTATGCTTCACTCTATACGTCCTATACATGGGAACTCAAAAAGCATAGTAATAGGACTACCACTGGAGATAGGGCACCTTGATGCAGTATGGCTTTCCAAATGTATGCAACAATGTATGCAATTTTTATCCTAAATTTTAAAAACAGTTTAATTAGGTATTTTAATATACAGTACCTTAGGGTTAATTTTCCTAGGCACAGAAACCAGGAAGTAACTGAAAAAAAAAAGTTTTAAAACATGTAAATATGATATATGTTCCTATCTATTTACTAGTGCTAGCAGCAGAAGGATTCAAAATAGTCAATGTTGATTGAGAGAGTGACGTTCCACTTTAAACAATCTTAAAGTGCAACCATGGTCACAATAAAAAAAATGACATAAATGATGCAATCCATCACTAGAACCATCACAGCAGGTAACAGTTTTATTACTAGTTACTCCTGCCAGAACAGGCATTATTATTCCACTTCCTTTAAGCAGAGTGATGATGATGTTCATTCTGCAAGGAAATCACTGCAGTGTTGTCACCTTGTGGCCAGGGGAGTTTATATCGCTTTAAATAGCTACATACACCTAAAAACTCCTTTATGAGAACCATAAAGATAGGAGACTCCTAGGGTGTATCTCCTACGTTTAGCTCCTTTCCCTGTCACTACTCCCTCACCACATTATCGACAATAAAATGCAGTATTTTATTGTCAATAATTGCTTTCAATATTAACAATGAATAAAATATCATTTTTGGTTTGTGGTGCTCACATGCACTGCAGTTCCACTTTAATCTCCAAGTGACATGCAGAAAAACTGATGGAAACTGACATGCAGATTTCACTCGTAGAGACATCAATTTCTATCAGTTTTCATGCACACTTCAGTGAGTTATTATTATTGTTATAATACAAGATTTATACAGTGCTACCAGTTTACGTAGCACTTTGGAACATAACGTTTTTATATACGTTTCAGATTCCTACGCAAAAAAAGATCTGCACATGATACCAGTGTTCTGGTGTGAACAGGACACATAGAGAACATTTTTTTTTTTTTCATGCCCTTGCAGAACATGTGCAGAAAAAACTGATGTCTCTGCAGCATGGTGTGAATGAGGCCCTAATGTTGTGTTTGCCTACATATGAACAGCATATTGATACAGTAGGAGCAAACTGACAGTAAGGACATCAGTATTCATGACATAAACCAGGAGCTTTTGGTGCTAGTCATAAGAAGACTTCCTGGTCAGTTTGTATACCTTCCGGATTATTGGGGTCCTTTGGGAGCCACCAAATGCTAATAATGTACAAAATCTGCCAAAGCCATCTAATTGATGGAAATAATGGACCAGCCACAGTTTCACTACCTAGAATTCAGTGCAATTAATGTCACCAGCAGGGGCGGACTGACAACTCATGGGGCCCCCGGGCAGTAGCGGATCATGGGGCCCCTGTGTCCTTGGCCAAACTCAAAAAAGCCTATGAAAAAGGTACCAGTGGCATCTCATGGGGCCCCCCACTGACCCCGGGCCCTCAGGCAGTGCCCGAGTTTCCAAATGGTCAGTCCGCCCCTGGTCACCAGTATACCCAAGCCAGGAGCCAAAATAAGCCCTGCACCAAAAAGTGAAATATTGGTGCTGCAGATATTTTTTTTTCTTTTTTTTTTACAGACTGATTTTGTATAGTTCTGCTTTTGATGTATTCTCAAACATGGAATCCAGATGCCATAAGATTCTCAGGTGGACATAATTCTTTTCTGCAGGCAGAGATTTTAATAAAACATTTTTTTTCTTTCATGTGAACAGGGATATAGTGCAGCTAAGGAGTTTAAATGGTCTATTAAAAGCCAGTTTTATTGCAGGTCTGTTGTAGTTTAATCTACTATTGAAAAGTAAAGCTCCTGTGCAGAATGTCAGCTCAGAAATGATTGAGAGGATTAACGGAACAGGGGACCATAGGAGTGAGCAGAGATGGACAAGGAAAGGAAAGGACGCTTAGGAATCATTGACTGATTGTCCAAACACATACAGTATATTTTATGTTTAGTGCATGATAATATTTATGATAAGCTGTGGTTAAAATCTGTTTAACAAATTGTTTCACCTTTATAAAAGGGAAAGTATAACTTCCTGTGTATTTGAAAGCGATGTCACAGTCTGACATATCGTGACACTGCACAGGAGAACGGAAAGCGTTCAACAAAACACTGCAGCCTATACATAAGAGTGAGTCAAACAGATGGTTGCAGCGGGCTGCTGTAGAACTACATGCAGCCTGTTCATTTTGACTTTACCTCTGATGAATAACAATTTGTGTTTTGTCATAAAGAAAATCCAGTTGAGCTTCCACTATATAAGCTGGAGACACACACATGCTTACTCTAATTTATAGCTTAGGCCAGTATATAAAAAGGTTAAAAACCCCTGTATTTTTTATTGACTATGTGTCCCATTAGGGAGATATTGCCTCACTTTCTGTTTTTGGATAGACAAAAGGAAAATTGAGGAAATCCCGCCAAAGTAGAGGAAATCCTCCATTAATTATCACCAAAATAAAAATAAATTGTTGGATTTCCCTTTTAATCTGGGCGACAATGGTGACCAGGACAAATGTTGGAGAGGGTGATGGTCCCAACACACACAATGGTAAAAACCTGACAGAAGTAATAATCCTTCCTGTTCCAATTCCTTTTAAAAAATGAGCTTTAGATACTCTTCAACTGCAGTTTTTAACATACAATTAACTTAATATTTTGAAGGTGCAAAATCTTCATTATTTTGATACAGATGGTAAAACTAAACTCTGGGCACAAAACCATTAATTTAAAGGATAAATTCACTTAAAAAAAAGATTAAAAAAATGTGCATTTACTATTTGTTTGTACTATTTGTGCAGGAGCCTGGAAGGCATTGCACCTGCAATCCACAGATTGCTGGTGCCATGCAGGTCTCCTACAGACTGTCACACTGACAAGAAGAATCAAAGAACTACAAGAGTACTCAACAGTGCCATGATAGTTCATTGAGAATTACAAGTCAACAGCTGCATAGGCTGTCGGAACTTGTAGTTTTCACAGTCACAGAACTCTGTCAATGAATGATGCGGTGTGTTTTTTAAGATTTTGACAGTGAGCAGGGGGAGAGAATCCCCCCCGCTCACTGTCACAACATGGTATCAGCCTGAATAAGGGTGTAACATGTAACATGTTACGAAAAGGTGAACTTATCCTTTAAAGCGGTAGTAAACCTCTGAACAAAAGACAAAACAATGGGCCCCCCTGCAGCTTTAGGTCATAGTGTACTAGTACATTATGACAGACTTACCTGTACATGGAGCCCTCAAGCACCACGCTGTCATGGCTCCCTGGCGCCGCGTCTTCACCCGGTCTTCCTTCCGGGTTTGCAGGCTCCAGCAGTATGAATGGCCGGAACTGCGTTCACATCACTCCCACGCATGTCGCGCTGGAGCACTCGGCTGCAGCACGGAGCTCTGTCATCACCAGCAGTATGCTTTGTAAATAACTCCTGAACAATGCAAGTTTAGGAGAAAATCACTGTATGTACTTCATATAGGCTTACCTGTCTGTACTACTTAAAAAGTGGACTTTTACTTATACTCTATTTATGTTTCTTAACCTCCTTGGCGGTATGATTCTTTCCGATTTTTTGTGCTGAAAGCGGTACCATTTTTTTGCATGGAAATATGTAGTTTTTTATTGTAGGCTGTAATTTTTAGGAATAAGTCACTGAAATCTGTACAAACAAGAGTCTATTAAACATTCCGGATATGATAAAATTTGAAACACGAATCATAAATTATAATTTAATAAATAATCAGAAAAAATTATAATATAATAATAAATTTAATTCAATAATATAATCAAACCAAAAACACTGAAATTTGAAATACAGAGGCAAATTCGCACATCGCTGAGCAAAGTCGCAAAATCGTTTTCAGTGTCTGATGACGAATTTCCCCACAAATCATTATTACTAAATTCTGCAAGTGGTTCTGATTTACTATCGCTGTTCTAAAACCACTTTTGACGTAAAGGGATGCTTTTTGGACGCCATGGACTTTTCTAAGTTTCCAGGCAGAAAGAACATTCAAAATGCAGGCAGGGCGCAGGACAAAGCAGTAGGGACAAAATATATGTGAAATGCATTGAAACAGCAATGACAGCAAAAATGTCATTTTTAAAAAATTCTAATTTCCCGCCGGTTCCGGCGCCCATACGTCCCGACGTCACAGGGACCGGAACACAGAAGCCGGATGCCGGCATCGGCCGGAGGAGATGGCCGGGGACGCTGCAGGGGACACATCGTGGGAGCGAAGGACAAGGTAAGTGCTGCAGGGACCCCCAGAGCAGCGCCGCATGGTAAGCCCGAGTGAAGCTCGGGGTTACCGCTCTTGGTTTAGAAATTTTACCCCGAGCTACACTCGGGAATACTGCTGAGGAGGTTAATATCCACAATGGATATAGTTCCACTTTGTGTGCACCAAATTTTTTTTACAAACTATGGTATTACCTTGTAAAAGTAGTGGTGACAAGACCAGCATT